AGCCAGGCACTGTTCAAACTTCATAACAAAATCCCATATGTGCTGATGATTGTTTTTATTATAGAGATAGAGGATGGCATGGAACTGAAAACCTCTTGGTCTCTGGAACCATAGAGTGTCTGAAGTGAGCTCCAGCTCACTGTATTTACCAAGCTGTGTGACCTGGCACAGGGTACCTAACTTCTCTGTACCCAAGCTTTCACCTCTGAAAGATGAGGATAACAAATAGATAATGGTACCTATACACAACAGGGCTGCTATTCACAAATACTAATTTCTATGGTAGAACAGGGCTGGGAAAATGATCAATGCTAAATGGAGTTTGACAAATGAAAATATTAAGATCCAGTACTCATTCAAAAGCAGCTTATATATAACCTCTGCTTAAAAACAGATACCAGTGTTGCCATCATAAATCTCAGAGGTGCCTTTATTTTATGTTGCCTCCTGGGAATTTGACTTGTTGACCAAGAAATTCTTTTCCTAATCATGAGGACTAATGACCAAAAACCCAGAGGTCACTTTGATGTGGTGAAATGGAAACTGAAGGTTTTCCATACAATCATTCAAACTATGATCATCCCCCTAGTAAATGAAAATAAGATAAACATATTATTTATTGAGCATGCACATGGCAGTCACTTTGCAAGCTGTTGTACTTTGATCGGAAGGTGACATGGAGGAAACGGACAACACATCATCAAATCCCTGCCTATTGTCACAAAGCTGATAATCTGTCAGGGAAGATGGATGTTAAAATGTGCAAAAAAAAAAAAACTCCAAAACTGTCTGCATTGTCAATAAACTAATTTACAATAAAAAGAGCTTCAAGAACTAGAATTCTTGTTCCTACAAGACCAACCCATCTCTTCCATGTAATCATAACTACCCAAAATTCAAGCAGCGGAGTACTTTATACGAATGGTATTAGACTTCACCTGGACAAGTATCTGCTTAGGATTGTGAATTCTCCATTCAAAGCTTTCTAACTACCCACCCCACTCCTTCTCCCAGTCTTGCTGCTTTTCTCCAAAAGGCTACAGTCTAGGCTCTGGCCTGCTAGTTCAGTTGGTTAGGGTGTTGTCCCAATATGCCAAGGTTGAGGGTTCGATTCTCCATCAGGGCACAGACAGGAAACAACCAATGAATGGATGAACAAGTATAACAACAAAGACATGTTTCTCTCTCTCTCAAATCAATAAAAATAAAAATTTAAAGTCCATTCATTTAATTTCTCCTTCCTGTATTACAGTCACATCCACACACTGTCTCACCGTATTTCTTCATCTTCTACCCTGACTGCTGTTTTCCATGCTTTACAACTTCTACCATTACATCTCTATGGAAGTAATGCTATTTTTTTCCAGAGGTAGTTACCTGTCTTTGATCTTTGTAGAGTAGGTAAGTTTAAACCTCAGAGGACAACGTTATTTTTGTTATTTTCAAGTTTAGGGTTGGTGTGCTGGGGTGAAAGGGGCATTTAGGGACGATATATGACATAATTTTCCTGTTCCAGCCTTCTCATTTGTAATAAGGAAATGAAAATACCATATTTTGCCAGTACAGTGCATACCTGCACTTTTGTGCCCATTATATATGGGATTATTATACCCGTTATTACACCCATGGTATGTAATCATTATACCCATGTATAATATGCATCCTCATTTTCCCTCAAAAACTTGGACAAAATAGTGCATGTTATACTTGGCAATATACAGGATACTGAAACTGTTGCCTCATAAACCCACAAGATAGTTCTCATTTAACCTACAAAGCAACCCAATGAGACACAAAGGTTAATTTACTTGAGTCATGAGGCAGACTTCACACTAGAATTTGTTAGGCACTGTACAAAGGTCAAAATCAAAACAAGAACTTGGCAGGTTCATACTCCAAGTTCCAAGTAGTCCTTTCCTGCCAGCTGATCTACGAACTGTAAGCAGCAGGCTCTTGAGATTTAATAGAAAAAGTGCTCCCCCCATGAGATGTGTTTCAGCCATATCATGGAAAATATGTCCTTTTGGCACAGGTATACTCAAGATTTTTCACGATAATTAAACATAGAGGGAACTATTTTTGTTTTTCTACCAAGCTCTGTTGGATGGAATAAGATAATCTCATATTTTAGGGGCTGGGGTCCCCAGTGGGAATATTATCTAAGTGTCCAGTGAGTTACAGACAGGCCTTTAGTTGTGCCAGCAATTCACGGTCTCGTCCTTAACCTTAAGGTCTACGTTAGGGTCCCAATCAGGATACCCAGGTAGGATCTCCAGGACACATTTGCCCAATTCAAAATAGACGGGACCAATGCCTCCACCAGAATGCTCATTTATTCAGTGATAATTCAGTGCTATCTCTTTCCAGTGACTAAATTAATGTCAATTAAGGTCACTCCCAGGGTTTCAAAGATGCCACACAATCAATCCCAGGTTACATTCATTCAATGTTGCTTTACAAACTGTAGCAAAGAGCATTGCAGGAACTTTCCACTGAATTTCCATGGGGAAAATGGAAATGCTCAAAGATATTTTTAAAAACATGATCAAACATTATTCTGAATATAGTCTGTGGAGAAAATGTAATTCAATAGGGTAACTATTTAAACAAATTCTCACGGGGTGAACTTTTAAAAGAGACACTGTGAACTCCAAATGAAATGTTCTGTGTGTGTCCTTTCCATGGGTAAATCTCAGGGGTCAGAGGAGGATCTAGAGTTTAGATGTTCTTTAATTTTCTGAGTACATAGATGAAGAAATAAAATATATTCCTCCTAATGGTTGCCATGAATTTTTCATCCAGGAAAAGAGTTACTTAAAGGCAAAAGTTATTTGAGTGTACATAAAAGAATAAAAACCTTGAACCCAAAGAGGGCCCACACCAAGACACATCATAATTAAAATGTCAAAGGTTAAACATAAAGAGACTCTTAAAAGCAGCAAGAAAAAAGAAGAAAGTTACCTGCAAAGGAGTTCTCATAGACTATCAGCAGATTCCTCAAAAGAAACCTTACAGGCAAGAAGGAGCTGGCAGGAAATATTCAAAGTCATGAAAAGCAAGGACCTACATCCAAGATTACTCTATGCAGCAAAGCTATCATTTAGAATGATGGAAAGGCAGATAAAGAGCTTCCCAGACAAGGTAAAGCTAAAGGATTTCATCATCACTAAGCCCTTTTTATATGAAATGTTAAAGGGACTTATTTAGGAAAAAAAAAAAGATTAAAACCATGAACATTAATATGATAACAAACTCAAAACTATCAACAACTGAATCTAGAAAACAAACTAAGTAAACAACTAGAACAGCAATAGAATCACAGATATGGAGATCATTTGGAGGGTTATCAGTTGGGAAGGGGGAGGGGGAGAATAGGGGAAAAGGTATAGGGATTTAGAAGCATAATTTGTAGACAGGAGGATGTTAAAAATAGTATAGACAATGGAGAAGCCAAAGAACTTATATGCACAACCCATGGACATGAACTAAGAGTCAGGGAGGATCACAGAAGGAAGAGGAGAACCGGATAGAGTTGGGCAAAGGGGGAAAAACAGACAACTGTACTGGCATAATCCATAAAAAATATTTTTAAAAAATAAAAATAAAAACTTGCTCTTCACCTTAAAATATAAATTAACTTCTACTACAAATAGAAACTGGAAAAAAACATATAAGTTTTCATACAGATGACTATCATACAACGTTATTAATTTGAAACCATTTTGTACAGTAAATCTATACAAAATCTTGAAATACTAACCTACATGCGTGTAGTAACAATTACAGAATGCAAAAGATAACTTATTTAGAAATAGGCTCATAAAAAATACAATTATTTCATATAAAATGTACTTTCTATGTGAAAATCTGTAAGAGAGACCAGAAGGCAAATATTCCATACCTACATTGTCAGAAAACCATCAACAAACAAGTATTGGGGAGGATGTGGAGGAAAGGGTGCCCTCATGCACTGTTGGTGGGAATGCAGACTGGGGCAACCACTGTGGAAAACAGTATGGAATTTCTTCAAAAAATTAAAAATGAAGCTGCATTATGACCCAGTGATTCCACCTCTGAGAATATATCCAAAGAAACCCAAAACACTGATTTGAAAGAATATACACACCCCTATGTTTATTGTAGCGTTATTTACAATCGCCAAGATCTGGAAGCAGCCCAAGGGTCCATCAGTAGATGAGTGAATAAAGAAGCTGTGGTACATTTACACAACGCAGTACTGCTGGGCCATAAAAAAGAAAGAAATCTTACCCTTGGCAAGAGCATGGCTGGACCTGGAGAATATTACGCTAAGTGAAATAAGACAGTCAGAGAAAGACAAATACCATGTTTTCTCCCATATATGGAAGGTAATGAACAAAACAAACCAAATAGACACAGACACATGGATATCGAGAATAGAATGCTAGCTGTAGAGGGCAGGGGATTAGGGATCAGGTGAAAAAAGTGAAGGAATTAAGAAAAAAAGAAAAACCTCATATGCGCAGACAAAAGTATAGTGATTACCAGAGGAAAGGGGAGGAGGGGGAGGTAGAGGTAGGTGGAGGGGTGATAAATGGAAGGAGACCTGCCTTTGGGTGATGAGTTCATAATACAACATACAGGTGATGTATTATGGAATTGTACACCTGAAACCTATGTATTTTATTAACCAATGTCATCCCAATACATTTTTAAAAAGAAAACCTGCTAAAGCTGGAATTTTTAATACTTGATAGCCAAGCTCATCAATGATATCTTTCACATCATCATTTATGCAAACCACTGAGACATGTATTTCCCCTAAATCCAATTCTATAATTGAAGGACTGGTACGCCGGTGTCGCCACAGAGATTTGCTAAAAAGTACTTCATCCCTTTGCAATTCCTACATATATGCTGGTGAATATTCACATTGTTGTTTACCACTATCATAAACTAATGTAGTTTATATTAAGACATTGAGAATCTGTAAAGTAAATAACAGTGAAGACAAAACTTACCAAGCACAATGACCACAGTCTTCAGAAGACTCATCATGGTATCACGATTCCGTCGGGGTCCAGAACTGTGCCGAGACATTCTCATAGTCCTCTGACGAACATAGCCAAAAATATGAGCGTAGAGAACCACCATTACAACGAAGGTCACCAGGTTGAAAATGGCCCAGAAGACCAGGTAAGAGTCACTGTAGAGGGGTGCCATGTTGGAACAATTTTCAATATCACAGATGCAATTCCAGCCCACACTGGGTATAGCACCCATGACAATGGCCATGGTCCAGATGACCACTATCACCACCACCACCCTCCGGTTGCTCATCCGTGTGTGGAGCTGCATGCGAAAAACTGTAATGTGCCTCTCGATGGCGATAGCCAGTAAATTGGCCACAGACGCCGTCAGGCTGGTGTCGATGAGGCCCTGACGAAGGAGCCATGTGCTGACAGTCAGTCTCCGAGTATTAGGTCCTGTGTTGAACATTAGGTAGAAGTAGGCCAACCCAGCAAAGAAGTCTGCAGCTGCCAGATTAGCCATTAAGTAATAAATAGGGAAGTGGAAGCGGCGGTTGACATAGATTGCCACCATGACCAGTAGGTTGGCCAACATGATGAAGATACAGACGGTGATTCCAAGCCCCATGACCAGCTTGCTGACTGTGTTCCATTCTGTGGCAAGATACTTTCCACTCCGGTTGTAAAAGAAGGCGATGGATTCATTGTAGAAGCACTGTGGTTCATTCATGGCTGTGAACTAGGAGAGAAAGGAAGAAAGATGAAAATAAAAGAAAAAAGAAACCACAAATCCAAATTTAAAGACGTATAGATAACACAAGACTTCTATGGTAAGTGTGGCCCCCCAAAAAGCAAAGAATTTGAAAACCTGATCCTGCATAATGTTCTATGATTATATTGAAACCTCAAGGTTTCGCACTGTGTTACTATCCTCAAGATTCTCAAGATTAAAGACAGTTGGAGTCAAATAAATGACAAGGTCTATGCTTGGTGGTTGCACATCATTGAAGTCTACTAGAAAAGCCACATGGCTCAGAAATCATGCTTAAAATACATGAGAAAGATGAGAATTCTGCAGAGCATTGCAATTGGAATATTTACCATAGTGAAATCGACTTTGACCTGTTATTTAGGGAATCTGTAAACATAGTTGGTTTATACATAGGGTATTATTGCCCTATTATTCAGCATTTCTGTTCTCACATAGAATGTTCCATCTGTGACAGGCATTTTCAATGCAAGTCCCCACAAGGGCAATCAGTCTCGACATCTGAAAGAGGTCACTATGGATCAAAGCTTCTTTGACAAAAGCCAACATTCGCTGTTCGACATTCCTGTGGGCAGCAATGCCTACCCCCATGACTCTTTATCCCCAGAATAGCATTTGTCAACCAATCTATGATGTTCGGGAACTTTTTGCTTTTTGGAGGGCATAAGAAATGTTACCTAATGGAACGTTCAAAGAGCAGCTGACACTTTGACACTGTTTTACAAAAAGTGAGGTATACTTAAAGTTATATCTTTTAAAATGTAGAGTGGTAAATAATGTCCTACGTGTTTTCTTATTTTTCAATATCATCAACTAGAATATATTTGCTTATTGTCTATACCTTACTTGAATCCAAAAAGGATTGAGGAAGTTTATAATAGAATAATTAATATAGGTAGTTATTAAATTATTAAAACAAAATTAGACAATAAAATTAATATAGAGAAATTAGAAAATTACACATGAAATAAAATACATCACTTTTCCTGAAGCTTTAGGTTTGTTCAAGACTCCTAGAATCAGAAAATATTTTTTGACAACAGTTCACATCCTACCTTTTTCTTTTTGGTGTGCACTGCATTTAATTAATTACTTAGCAAATGTGACAGGTTTAACCACTATTTTTGAAATTATTTTTCTACTTTTAAATTACAGTTGACGTTCTAATATTATATTAGTTTCAAATGTGCAGCATAGTCAACCACTATTTTAGACCAAATATTCTACTGAATACCCACAGGTTATGCATAAATGTTTACGAAACTCTGAAAGTTCCAAAACAGTAAGAAACACTTATTAAATGGTCAGTCTTTTAACTCCTCCAGACCTCTACAGTCTCTTTCCTCATTTAGACTTCAAGGGCTTTTCGATCATGCTTCTATCATTACAGATACTATGTTGAATAGTTATTTATAGTTTAACATGTCTGTTTCTTAAAGAGATCATAGTCCAGGGGGAGGAATGGAGACCTTGCCTTCCATATGTCGGTATCTTACGTACCTTCAGCAGAACCTCATTCATTTGAGATCTGAGAATTTGGTTTGTAATATTCAATTCCACCCAAATCTTGCCATTACTCTGTGTAATTCATCTAATTTTCTTGCCTTTCAGTTTCCTGACCTCATCTCTGATGACCTTCTATTTCATTACACCATATCTGCCCACTCCCATGGCCACACCTTGGACTTTGTAACCACTCAGAACTGTCTCCCTTTGGAAATAATTAATTTTTCCATTCTAAATACTCACCACATTTCCCATTCTTCCAAATGCCTCATTTTATTCCCAATACATCAGTTCTTTGAAGTCCTCTATTTCCTTAAGCACCCTATTTTTTCCCAGTGGATTACCCTCCCCATCTCCCGTTTTTCTTATCCAGCTTACATTCCATAGTATGTTCTTTCAACATCTTTATCACTAACACAGGAATACATTATCTTCTTGAAACTTTAAAGTCAGATGTCCTTCAGAATTCGATTTTTTTCTGGTTGTGAGACCAGTTATATAGCACAAAATCAATATATGATGCAACATCTCCCATCAAAATTTGGGACAGCACTCCATAATCATACACATTAATTTCTAAAACAAAATACATGAATATAGATACTAAATTTGATAAAGTTTATAAATAGCTTCATATCTGTTTATTCAGAGCTAGTTTTGCCACTGATTTATGAAATATTTTTCAGTTTTCATAACCTCTTGAAGCTTCTACTTTCAGATAAGGAAGCAGAGACCTTTATCCTTTAATCTACTCGCCCCACAGTATGGCATGACAATGTCTTAGAATAACATCAGTCTTGGATGAATGAAATTGGTTGCTACTTCCACGCCTACACCAAGGCTACTAAGAAGTATTAGGGAAAATACATCTGGCAGATTGATTCTGGTAGAAATTCATGATGTCTATCCTCAACTGAGACTTCAGTGCCAAAAGAAATCTGATTTTCCTCTAATTATTATCCTATATCCTCTCTACAGTGACTATTTTAAACTTATCTACTGTTCTCTTTTCTGCCCCATCTTCCCTCTCTGCATCAGCAGCTGACAAAAGAGAACAACAGAAATCATCAGGTTAGAACTCTTTCACCTCTCTCCCACCAAAGACAAAATTACCTATTCAAGAATTCATCCCTTCTTCCTCTTCTGTTACCACGGAAAAAGTATGCCCTGCCATCCAAGGGCTCCAAATCACATCCACTCCTACTCTGTCAAGAAACTTGTTCTATCAGTTGCTTCCTTTCTCCTCCTTATATCTTCAATTTCCTCTCAATTCTTCTCTCCTCCCCTGAATCTTTCTCTATCCACAATCAAGTTTAGTATATGCCATCTTTAAAAGGAGAAGAAGGAAGAAAAGGAGGAGGGGTGTGGGGGAGGGGAAGGAAGAGGAGCGGGGGAGGAGGAGGGGAAGGAGAAGAAAGTAAGTTAGTTTACATGACCCCATGTTTACCTTCTGCCCTTGATTATTTTTCTCTTTCATGGAAAATGCTCTCTAATTTCTCAATTAACTATAGGATGGCTGCTACTTCCACCCCTCCATCAAATCCACTCTAGTCAAATTCTTAAATTTTATATAATTTCCCAAATTCACACCAATCTTATGCCTACTCCAATGGAAATTCTCAGTCCTCACCTTGCTGACCTCCTCAGAGCATTAGATACATGACTGCGAGGCATTTTTTAGACATTTCTCTATATGACTTTCATAACATCATACTCTTCTGGGTTTTGATCCTTCTCTCTGGCTGGTCCTTCTCAGTTATTTCTGAGGATTCCTCATACTCTGTGCAATATTGATGTTTTTACACTATTTATGTTCTCATTCAATACACTTTCATTGAGTTTTCTAATATGTCCTCCAAGATTTCAATCCTCTTATATATCCCAAATACTCTTATATCTATATATTTAACCCATACTTCTTTCCAGAGCTCTAGGTAAATATCAAATTGCCTACTGGTATCTCTAATTGACTACCTCATAAGCAGTTCCATCTCTGTGTTCAAAACCAAGCTCAAAATCATAATCTTCTTCATGATCTCCAACAACTTCCCATGTTCTCTATTCCAAAGACTAGAAAACCACCATCTTTCCAGTGGTTTTAGTGCTAAACATGGGAATTCTTTCTTTGCCCCTCATCCTTATCACTTAATCATAACCTGATCCTGTAGTTTCTCCTTCCTAAGTATCTGCTCAAGTCATCTACTGTTCCATTCTTATGGCCACCAGCGTTGTTACTACACCAGCTTCCTAAGTGTTCTTTCTACCCAACACCAATCTCTTCTTTAGTGATCCTTCTAAAAGACCAAGTTAAACAAGATGTTCCCCTATTGGAAATGCTTCAGTGGCTTAGAAGTGCACATAAGGTAAAAATCTAAACTCTTCCACCACCTTATCAGGCCTCCCTTGCTTCTCCAGACTCAGCTCAAGCTATTAATGACTTCAAACTCTCTGCCTCAGTTACATTTAATGTGCTGTGTTCTTTTGCACATCTGGTTTTCAACCTCAGGGAGTACAGTGGTTTTCTACATCAGTATCATCCAAAGGGGTTGTAAAACACAGTATTCTGGCCACATCCTGAGAATTTCTGATTCAATAGATCTCAGATAGGGCTCCAGATGATGCTGATGGTGCTGGTCCAGGGACCACACTTTGAGTACCACCAGTTTAGAACATTCTTCCCCCAATCTCACTGTATACTCCTCCTCATGCATTGGTTGAGGTGTTACTCTTCCTAGTCATTTTCCCTAGACCTTCCCACATCTGTGCAAGTTTTCTGTCACAGTGCCCTGCATTACTCCTGTAACAACACTAACCACACTATATAATAGTTGCTTAATTATCTATTGACACCTCTCCACACTAGGCTATAAACCCTATGAGAGCAAAGAGTCTAGTTTTCTTGTTTATTATTGTACAGCATCCAACTGTTGACACTTTAGATGCTAAATATATATTAATCATATTCATAAATTAAAACTAATTCCAAAAATGTTTACACTTTACAAGTTTCCTCACTGCAGAGGACACACAAAAAAATATAAACATAAAACTCTGTTCTGCAGCCCCCATAACCACTTACTTTCTCTGGACAAAGACATTTTTGTTTGTTTGTTTGTTTGAAGGGAGGGAGAAAGAGAGGAAGAGAAACATCTATGTGAGAAAGAAACATCGATTGGTTGCTTCTCATGCACACCCCAACCAGAAACCAAACTCACAGCCTAGTCATGGTCCTGACCAAAAATTGAACTAACAACCTTTCTTTTTGCAGAATGATGGCCAACCAATTGAGCCACATTCGTCAGGACTGGATAAAGACATTTTTAAATGAAACATGAAGCACATAGAATTTCATAGCACTCCAACTTTTGATACCTATTGACTGCCAACAAAGTCAGGTAGTCATATGTGTAGCTTATTTGCTCTTTCCACAGGGGAAAAAAATTACACAGTTAAGGATAACAAAC